TAGTCTATTAAATATTAGAAACGCTCACATTTGAAATAAATAAATCCAACCAATACTCCTCCAGAAGGTGAGAACACAAACCAAAGTCCAGTCAAAAAAAGCTGGATTTTGATGCCACCTTACTTGCTGACCAAACTCCATTCAAAAAAGGTTTAATTTCAGTGCCAGGTTGCCAACTAACATGACATATGCCTGTTTTAATAGGACTAAATACTAACCCCAACTTAATAAAAGTCACTCTATGATATGAGTCAGTCTCTAAGCACCAACTTTTCTATGTGGATTGAGCCAGAAATATGATTACCCTATCTGTGGCGGTCAGTAGAAACCAAGTGCTTGCTAAAACTGACATTTTAATCATTTAGGTTGGTCCCATGTTTGCCGAATACACCAGCGAACACCGACCATCCTCATAATGTATCCCGTTGTATTGTAGTTTACATATCTGTCTGTGAAATCCCATAAAAGTCTTAAATTGTCATGTTTTTGAACGAGGTTCTTGAGTTAGTTTAACCGCAGTAAAGCAAGGTGATACAACTGTTATAAGCCAAAGTGAAATTAAAGGTTCTATTTCGCTTTAATTATACTGAATGAACAGGTTGTTTGTCTGAAATATTTATTTTAAATTCGCTTTTGTAACAGAAGGAGGGACCAGTAAATGTCTCTGACCTGCAGTGTCCAGGAGTCACCGGCGTATTAGCTTAGCTTAGCCACCATGCTAACAAAACTACTAGTTTGGTTGAAAACACGTTTAATTTATATATAAATATAATACATATAAATATTTAAAATAATGTTTCGCACGCTGTTACCTTTGAGGAGGAACTCCGCTGTCATTCACCGCTGAACAGAAACATGTTACCAAACATCTTAGACGGAAACACACACCGGAAACATAGAGTGCAACACAGAATTAGCTCCTCTATTAGATGCGGGCACAAAGGTTCCGCCCACACACAGGTCATATGGTGTTTATTAATAATACGGTGATTATAATGTGTTGACAAACTTGATTAAGAGTTGTCAATTTCAATTCAGTTCAGTTCATAATTTAACATAATTATTTTTAGTTATATTTTAGTGATATAATATAATTATTTACACTAATATTTCTGCAGCTTATTTTCGGTATATTTTCAGCTCTATTTTAGTAATTTAAAATACTAATTTCAGTTATATGCAAGCAGTTTATCTGGTATATTTTAATTGATATTGTAATAATTTAATACCATTATTTTATTTAATAGTTCTGCAGTATAATCTGCATATTTTCAGTAATATCATATAATAATTTACTATAATTAATTTCAGTAAAAAGTAATACTGGTTTGTCCAGTATATTTTCTGTAAGATTTTAATTAATCAATACAGTTATTTTATGTAATGTTTCAGCAATCTAACTTACGTATTTTCAGCAATATTTTATCAATTTAACATAATTGTGTTACATAAAACTTTAGCAGTTTAACTGGTATATTTTAGGTAATTCTTTTTAATAATTTGAAATATTTATTTTCAATAATATATTAATAATTTGTTGTTATCATTTTAGCAGTATTTTAATAATTTCATTGTTTAAAGTAATGCTTTAGGTTCAGGTTCAGGTTCAGGTTAATTTATTTATACCCGTAGCTAGATTAGTTTTGCAGAAAGATGATGACATCCACTCAACAGACAAATGACAAAACAATGTAACATGAAACA